ATAAATTATGGTAATGTTTCCCTAATTTCATAATGCCCTTGCTAACCCATAAGACCGTACAAGGTTCTGTGCTCCCGTACACAAGGCGCCAACCGAAGCTGTCCATGAAAGAGATGCGTCAATAGAAGAAGAAAAAAAAACGCCAGCAGGGGGAAAAGGACAAGATTACCGTAGCGTCTTCTTTTTGATAGCTCCCGGGAGATTACCTGTTTGTTGGGTGCCCTACCTGTTTTTGCCGAGACTGGCTTTTTATAACATTGGACCTATGGCCTAGAAATAAGGAACACGACCGGTTCACGACGAGTGCCGCACAACCCGAAAAGTACACACGCTTACGTTCGCGACACGCATTCAGCAGCGAAATCTGTCTAACAAGCCAACCATCTTCCGTGCATTGTACCATACGTGTCGCATCATCGTTTTTGCGAAGTACCAGCGGCCATGCTGTTTTGACCACGAGCAGGCAACAGCCTGAAGTGTGACCGCGATCGCATGACGTTTCTATGATGTCACTACACGCCAATGCAACTTTGAAATAGGCTCCCAAATGAAAAAAAAACTGCTTTTTCACGCATTTGCGGACGTGTAACGCAGGAACCAAGATCGTTTTGTGTTTTTTAAAAGGATGCTACCGTTGAACTGCATCAAAAGATCCTCAAGATGGCTATTTCAGTTTCAAAACGCGATGGAAATGTGGAACATTCCTTTAATGGCCGTTGTGTCTGAGTGTGTAAAATGGATGTGCGACTGTCTGTAATGTGTATGTGTGCGTGCTTGGTTAAGTTTTGTGTTTGGGTGTGTAACGTATATTTATTGTCTTTTGAGCTGGTATGCTTCCGTAGTTGGGCTTTTCCCTGTGGACTGCTTATGCCTTAGCGCGCTCGGGCGGCCGGCTGGATACCCCTCGCTCGGGTGGGGATGGGGGGGCCAATTTACCCCTAAGATCTCGGGAACTAAGAGAGCTAGAGACACTAAATTCACAGGGTATGTTGACCTGCACGTGAAATCACTTGGGTGAAATTTTGAGGTTACTATGTCATGACCTTCGGGCCAAATACGGTCAAACAAGATCAAACTTGAGGCTGGTCTCCAAAGTACCCCAAAAATAGATAACTGTTTCTAAGCAAAAATTCGCGTGTTCATTTAAGGTCTGTGACCTTGTTTGACCTTTTGAAGGTCATCGTGGCCAACATCATACAAGATTACTCTGAGCTTTGCCTGAATAAGGACAAAGATATCGTCAGACAATATGTCCCAAAAACCTCTCAGAAGTCCCCGGAAGATGTATAATGCGTTCTTGCTATCAATAAATTCGACATGAGCACCAGAAACTACCCCATACAGTAAGCCCTAGAGCGATAAAACAGGTTGGCTTTGACCTTGGTCTGACCTTCATACCTGACCTTAAGTCAAAATTATTTGCTCATCCAATGTTTGTGGCTACGTAAGAAACCATCTCAGAGATGTATAGCTTCGTCTAACATTCCGTTGTTGCATCAGAATGAAAGATTCCCTAGAAATTGACTCCGCTGAAACCATGACCTGATTTTGACCTGCCATAGGTCAGTGACCTTACAAGGAACATCTCAATTGCTATGTCAAACGATTTGCTATTCAGTTGTCTATAGCTATGCAAAATGTGGCGCGGCTACGCCGCGCCGTTCGGAAACTATTTTGGAAAACCTTCGGGGAGCCACCTCCCCCCTCCAAACCCCCTCCCCCACCCAAGCGCGTGTGAAACAAACAGACAACCTGAGCTACAATGGGAGTGTTGGGCTGGTCTGCTAAAGATAATTAGCTACAATGGGAGTGTTGGGCTGGTTGCTAAAGATAATTAGCTGCAATGGGAGTGTTGGGCTGGTCTGCTAAAGATAATTAGCTACAATGGGAGTGTTGGGCTGGTCTGCTAAAGATAATTAGCTGCAATGGGAGTGTTGGGCTGGTCTGCTAAAGATAATTAGCTGCAATGGGAGTGTTGGGCTGGTCTGCTAAAGATAATTAGCTACAATGGAAGTGTTGGGCTGGTCTGCAAAGAATTAGCTCAAATGGGAGTGTTGGGCTGGTCTGCTAAAGATAATTAGCTACAATGGGAGTGCTGGACTGGTCTGATGGAGACACTGAACTGCGTTGGGAACGCTAAACTGATCTTCTGGAGACGCAGACGCAATTGGAGTGTTGGACATGGTCTGCTGGAGACAATGGACTGCATTATGAGTGCTCGACCGGTCTGCTCTAGACACTGAGCTGCAATGGAAGTGCTGGAATGGTCTGCTGTAGACACTGAGCTGCCATGGGAGTGCTAAACTGGTCTGCTGGAGACACCGAACTGCCATGGGAGTGCTAAATTGGTCTGCTGTAGACACTGGACCGCAATGGAAATGCTAGACTGGGCCCACCGGGAGTCTGGATTTGTCTGCTGGGTCCACCCCTGGAACGTCACGGTTGACAACAGAGCGTCTTGCACCTGCTCCTGCATTCATCAACATCACGCATAGCACACCACTCTATATGCGTGCAGTTCGCTTCATCCAGAAAACACCGTTGCGCCTCAGCGTGCGTAGACGCCCAGGGCGTGGATTTCATTCGACTGCAAACAAAATTGAGCACCCTCCTATCCAGCACACCGGCAGCGCCCGAACCACGGAACGCAAATTGGGCAACATTTTCGATCGTTCATCTCTTCCCATCGCTTCAGCAACGCCCCTCAACCACTAAAAACAAAGACCCGGCGGCCCCGCTCGGCTCCGCGCAACGGACGGGGTCGTCGCCCAGCACAGCGTCCGCCGAAACCGAATACGTTTGGCGGCAAACAGATTTGCCATTAAATCACCTCAGTTGGCTTGGGGAAAGGTGCTACGATGTAAGTTTTTGTCGTTGAACGACGACAGGCAAAGCTCTGTTACGACGGTTCTTACGGCCTATGCCGCACCACATGCTATTGTTGGGCCTATCACGGCAGCCGCACACAGATATGACATTCCGCTGGCGTGCCAATTAATTTTGATATGCCAGCTTTGTTTAATGATTGTGATTCGAATAAGGAGAACCAGCTGTAACTCATAAAAACTCATGAACTTAAAACTCATGAGCTCACAAGTCATTTCACCATAAATTCCCGGCCGCAGTTCAAATTAGCTCCACAGTTACAGAGAGCAAACACAGTTGCTGAGTTACCACGTCACTGGACACAAACGCTATAACACGCAGTATTCATCCGAAAAATCGGAGCCCTTCACAAAACGTCACTTCTCACAAGACAATAATAGTAGACGGAAAAATGAAACCGGTATTTTGCATTTGTTTCTGATGCAACAGTTTCAACAGCAGGGCACAACAAACAAAAACAGCACAAGACGGCGGCATCCAAGCCTCCTCGAACCAGTCACTCTCACTCCTATACGCTCAGGTCAATTCACGTCAAGAGGCTGCGAGCAGTCCACCGCGTGCACCATCCGTCGGGCCACCGACGGAACTTGTTGTGTCAACAGACCGACACAACAAACGTTCAGAATCAAACGTTCCGAGACGTGAACTTCGTCAGTTCGCGTCTCAGTAACAAATTATCAGATTATCTGACAATCTGAAGAGCTGCAGATACGGGCGGGAAGGGGAAGGGGCTTACAGCCACGATCCCCGCACACACCTGACGAGCCAGAGTACACCATGACTTGCACCGTAGCCAGCCTTTTGAATGTTGTCAACTCTTGCAATGGTCAGAACAACGGCGGTCATTTGCCTCTAGTCCCGCTCCGTAAACCAACGCATGCATGAACTAGCGACAGATGCGTTCCGAACGCATATTTTGACTAGCTTAGCTTGACAGCCTTCTCCTTACAGGATCGGCGGTTGGGCGCGTTCTTGTGGGGAATCGTTCGCAAACCGCGAGTCAAGACAAGCACCGTTCCCCAGCGACCCACCATTAAAGAGTGTTCCACATTTGTATGGGGGTTTGAACTGAAACAGGCGTCTTGAAGGTCATACGGTGCGATTCACGGCCCCGCCCTTCTTAGGACCTAAGACCTCTAATTTCTGGACCACAAGCCCGCGAAGATGTGCGGACTATTTCTGGGCGAATGTTGCAAGATCACCAAGGCACCCACAACGCCATAATAGCGTCATTCAAATCTTATCATTCCGCTGGCCCCGCAGCGACCAGTGCCAAGCAATGTATAATTATCGAGTCGTTAATATCTGGCGTTCGTGAAGACGACTTCCAGATATCACAGCCGTAAGGTGAATCTCAATCAATATTGCGCGAAGTACGATCACGTAATCAAACAATAACGTATTGGGGAACATATTCACTTAACGCAGAAATTGTGTTGTCTAGAGCAGTCTTTTCCACATCAAAGTACGCAAATAATTATAAGCGTATTTTTTCATACATATGATGTTTGCTTCAAATCGCCAAATGTGAAACATTCCCTTTAACGAAAGTACCCCTAACATGTGCGGGCTCGCACGTGATTATTCAAGCCAGCTCTGCGAATGAACGACTTGCCGCAGACGGTGCAGGAGAAGGGCTTGCCGCCGGTGTGCGTCAATGCGTGGCTGTTCAAGTCACTCGTCTGCCCAAACGCCCTGCCACAGACACCACACGCGTGAGGCTTTCCACACGGACACGGACACGGAGGACACCACACGCGTAAGGCTTATCCACACGGACACGGACACGGAGGACACCACACGCGTGAGGCTTATCCACACGGACACGGACACGGAGGACACCACACGCGTAAGGCTTATTCACACGGACACGGACACGGAGGACACCACACGCGTAAGGCTTATCGCCCGTGTCCGTCCAACCATGAACCACCAGGGAGCTCTTGCGACTGAACAGCTTCTCGCACACACCACAGCAGAACGCCCTGCCACAGGCGCCACACGCTTGGGGCTTATCACCCGTGTCCGTCCGATCATGAACCGCCAGGGCGCTCTGCGACTGAACCGCTTCTCGCACACACACCACCGCAAAACGGTTTATCGCCCGTGTGGGTTCAGGCATGCTCCCGCAGGCTGCACCGGTACATGAACGCCTTGTCACATAGCTCACAGCGGAACGGCCGCTCTCGGGTGAGGATTCGGGCGTTGCATACCAGCGCCGTCTTGATGAACGCCCTGCCGCTGAGCTTGCAACAGGACGGCTTCTCGCCGGTGTGCGTCCGCGAGTGGTCCTTCAAGACCCATTTGTGGTTGAACGCCTTGCTGCAGACGTCACGGGCGAACGTTCTCGCTGGTGTGGGCGCGAGTGTGCCTGTTCGGCCGCTGTGGTCGCCGAACGAAACGCCGCAGAAGTTACAGCTGAACGGCTTCTCGCTAGGTGTGTTTAAGCATGTCTTGTCAGGTCCTTTTGGCGGCCGAAGGCCTTGCCACGAACGCCGCAGCGGAGCGAGTTATGAAAGGCATGGACTCAAGCATGACTGTTCAGTCTGCTTCTATCGCCAAACGATATATCGCATACGTCACGAACGGACGGTCGTTCGCCCGCGTGGTTTTGGCTGTGAGCGATCAGCGCCTTTTGATATTTAAACGATTTGCCGCGGACCACGCAACAGTGCGGCCTGGCGGCACTGTGGGTCAACAGATGACAAGTCAGGATACTTCGTTGATTAAACGCCTTTCCACACACGTCGCAGGTACACGGTTTTTCACCCGCGTGAGTACGAATACGCATTTCCAGTTGACTGTGGCTGTGAATTTGCAAAACAGTAGCCGGTATCCACAAGCAGCACACCAAGTTAGTATTATCCTTAGCATCATTGGCACCGTCGCCATCATCATTATCAGCAACATCATCATCATCGATGAAGAAAACGATTTGGGCTTTGGCCGCGCCGACTGTTCTGGTCATATGGCGCCTTTCATCATTATCATCATCGATGATG